TGCCGATATTTTTAATGCCGAGTGGCAGCAATCGTAAATAATTCGTCAATATTTTTATTATTAAATTTTGCCAAATTTGACAATAATTTGGTAGCCGAATAACATAATTTTGACTAGTGATATGAACAACAAGTCTTCAGGTAGTAAAAAAGCTAATATTTTTCAAGTTGTGATCTTTTTCTCATATTATTCTGATTAGGCAAAATTTAAAACCAAGGTCTCTTTTTTATTCCAATTGAACAATAAGACTAAATGGTCTCTAATTCTTACTAAATTCTAATTCTTTAGTTATAGTTGAGAATGAATTTTCTCAAAAGTTATTAAAGAAAATTGTAATTGACAAGAATCCCTATAGATGAATTCTCATACCATTACCAAGTAAAAAAAAGGATAAAGAATCCACTTTTTTGGGTAATTGAAGATATTTATCAATAAAATTTCTTTAACTAGATGTGACTATTAAAAGATGTTATATTGAAACAATATGATTTAGTTCCTATTGGATCATATACAGTAAAAATTTGAAATCCATCATAAGTCATCTGTTTATCACAAATTAATAAAAAATTATTGCCTAAAGAAAGTTGGGATCAAGTATGTCCTAGAAGTAAAGATTTACACTAGATAATAGGTTTCTTCAGATGGTATATAAAAAAGAAATTAAAATCAAGAATAAATAAGTTCTTCAGATGGTTAGAAGAAGAAAGAATATTTTAATCAAGTATTTTTTATTGAGAAGAAGTCTTAAGAAACAGATCTTTAAAAGAAGCTAAAGAATTTTATTTTATTTTTTTTTTTTCATCTTCTTGTTTATTCATTTAAATATTTTTAGATACATTCTTTTTCCTTTTTTTCAATCTATTCTTTTATAGTTTTCTGTATTTCAGTGGTTTGATAGGATATATAACAATACCAATCTGCCAGCAATAAAGTAGTAAACTAAAAGAATCTTTATCCAAAGACTACTATGAAATATAATATTGTTTCTAAAGTCAAATTTAAAGACTATTATTATCTATAACAAGTTAATTAGATTTGATATATATTTAATTATAGTATATATTATACTACTTAAATAAAAATGTACTTATATTTTCAATTGATTAATAAACTATAATCTAACCTAATTATAGGTAAAGATGGATTCCTAAAGAGGAAGATAAGGATAAAAGTCAAATGTCCTTTACTAAAAAATATTAAAATTTTTAAATTAATAACTATAAAAGAACTATCCACAATTGTTTTTTATTATTCAAATCATTGATTTATAGTATTTTCTGACTTTTGTTTCTATTAAAGTAAAGAGCTATGAATTTTATTTCTCAAAAAGAAATATAAGCAATTTGTGAAATTTTATATACTAAATACTTTAGAAACACATTATTAGTTATAAGTATTAAAAAAAAATTCTCATTATATATTTAAAAAAAATTATTAAAGAATGAATAATATAAAAAAAAAAAATAGTTAAATTTTTAATTCATTTAATAAAACTTTGAAAAATTATAATAATAATCTATAAATATAAAACTTTATAATTAAAAGATAATTTAAAATATAAAAAAAGCAAAATAAATTATATTTAAAGAAGATAAACTTCAATAATAGATAAATTAATTTATAAAAGTTATTTGAATTATAATTGGTTTCTTAAATTACAATAAAGATAAGTTATATTAGTTTAATAATAAATTGAAAAAAAATATTATAAAATATATGTATATAATTGTTTTCAAAAGTTTATTATATTTTTATTATATATTTTAACTTTATCAATTTTTAAATTCTTAATTATACAGTATATTATATTTCAATATTAATTTTATTTTTTATATTTTTTTTCAAAAATTTTTAATATAAATTTTTAATATAATAAAACTTTATAAAAAAGTTGAATTTATAAATAAGTGGACTAAAACTTTTAAAAACAATCATATACAGTATATTAATAAAATAAAAAAATGTGACATTATTATTGTACAGAATTATTTGATATAAATAGTAAAGATTTTACGGGAAGCATTCAAACAAATAAAACTTTATCGCTATTTATAGTTCTCAGACAAAGCTGAAGATCGACACCGCAGTTTAGCCTCTTGTTAATGAATTTTATCCATAAATTAACATTATACATTTTTTTCTTGTAGAGTTTCGCCATCGGTTCCATAATAAGTTAAAGGTGACAAAGAGGTATTTTCCCAACCGTATCCCACAAACCTCTGTATTCCTATTCATTCTCTTCCCATACAAGAAATCCCTGTCACCGATCAAGTCTTTTTATATAGAGGCCATTTTTGATAAGAACTAACCAACATAATCATCAGTTTCTTCCCCATCATGACAACACAACGCCCTGTATCTGAACAATTTAATCTTCAGCAAAAACCTGGATCTAATCCACAGTATAGGCAGTCGGCGGACCTTTCTCACTTGAGTCAGCAACCGACGAACCATAGGACTTCTCGTCCAACTTCCGAAATATTCTCCGTCAACAACCATAATACATATCAATCACCTGAAGGTAAGTCCACACAAAAAAAAAAAAATAAATTCATTTTTTGATATGTCACTTTGTAATACAATTCTTGCTGATAAGATTAACTCTTTAATTAATTAATTTAATTGTGCCTTTTTTCACACGAAAATAAATTCAGCCGAGGCCATTGACAAATGGTTTGAAGATCTTCAACACTACGAACAAACCCTTGAAGAAATGGCGACTGCCAGCTTGGATCAAAATTTCAAGGAAGAGCTTAGTGCCATTGAACAATGGTTTCGAGTATTATCTGAGGCTGAACGAACTGCCGCATTATATAGTTTGCTACAACATTCAACCCAAGTACAAATACGATTCTTTATAACAGTCTTACAACAGATGGCAAGAAATGACCCAATGGGAGCTCTTTTATCGCCAGCAAACCCTGAGAAAGGTTCGTTGGGTAACTTATTTATTTTATTTTTGCATTAGGGAAAGATATAAGAGTTCGTCAATTTAAATTTAAATGTTTACTTTCACTGCATCAATAATATTTATACCGATACATGATCGAGATTTTTTTTTTTTTAATAGACCATTAATTAATTAATTAAGGTCTGATCGTCATTTGATAATTTATAGATCTGATGCAGGCACAGTTGGCTGGCGCTATGGCTAAAGCGGAAGTTGAAGCCAAGTTAGCTGGTATGTCTCTTAAATCGCCAACAAGTCCGACATATCCACGTCGTTTATATGATCGACACTCAGGCGTCGAATTCTTATCCCCTGAAGCCGCTATTTATTCGGATCCAGCTGCGTCTCTTGCGCAACACAGGGCTCGCCTCCAGGCGAATACTGGAAACCGTAGTGCTTCTTTGTATTCTCGACCAAAATCCATGATTTCAGAAAGCGATCAAACAGTTTGGGCACCAAGTTCCGCTACTGGCTCGAATAACAATAAAGATAGAACGAGCAATGGTCGACCGAAATCTGCTGATTTAAGTACACTACCTTGGACCCCAGCCGGTTTTCCATTACGTTCTCCTCGTTCAGGAGGAACTGGCGCTTTTGACGGTGAATTATCTCCGCTTATCGGTGGAAGTTGGGCTAGTATGGTTTCAACTCCGGTGGTGCCAATGTTTGCAGAAAATAAAAACAAAGCAGCTGCTGATGTGGATATGGTTAGCAAAAAGCTGGCCAATTTGAGTAATAGTTCTGGTAATCGTGTTGTGTTAGAAAATGATGTAAAAAAATTCCGTCGAAATCAAGGTAAATCGAATTCGGGCGTTCCTGCCACCGTTCAAGAAGAGAAATATGGTTCAAATCAAGCAAACATTGTTTTATCGATGTATGACGCCGACGGGAATATTCGTTCGCCTCAACCATCCCCACTTTCAAGTCCAAAGTCTCTTATGAGGCAAGGCTCACGCCCATCTTCGCCTAATCCTAATCCATCTAACTTGTACCCTGTACATCCTGGTTGGGTTTCAACAACCGGAGGTGGAAAAGGTACTCATTTGGCACCTCCGAACATGATGGGTTATGGTGAAGAGAACGGTGAAACGGGCGGATATCATAGTGATCACAGCGATGCTTCGCATAACAACAGCACTAATAATACTTCGAAAGGTCACGGCAAGGGTAAAAAGAAACAGAACGATGATACTGTTGATTTCAAATTGTTAGAAGGTAGTATGACATGACTTATTCGGTTGGTTTAATCCGAAAAACCTATATATATCGCGTCTCATTTGCTTTGTTTTATTCTTTAGATATTCCTGCTTGGCTGCGTAGTCTGCGTTTGCATAAGTACACACCTGTATTTGAGGGAATGAAATGGCAGGACATTATTGAATTGGACGATCCTGAATTAGAGATGAAAGGCGTAGCAGCACTCGGTGCTAGACGTAAAATGCTCAAAGAGTTTGAAAAAGTCAAAGCTGCTATTGTACGTAACATCTTTTTGACCATTTTCGTATTCAAGTTTCAACGTAATTATTATCATATTAATATCTGATATTTGTTTTTTTAAAGCCTGCGAAATAAACACAGGAAATTATATTGAAAAGTAATGTGCATATTGGTGTATTCCACCTTTTGTATCATTTCATTTTTTCCAAGCATAAATCATTTTCCCACTTTGAATGATTTTTATCACTTTCGATATTTTTCAGAGGGTTTTCCAAATGCGGGACATATTCTATATTATTATTTTCTTGTGAATAATTTTTTTTTTCATCTTTATCACTCTTGTTTAACTCCCCAAAAGTTTTTTAAAAGTAAATCCTGTACATTTAGACCTTCAAAGGACAGGATCCTTTTATAGTAATTTTAATTGTTTCTTAAATGTTTAAGATTTTGGGGACAGGTGCTCCACTTTTTTTTTTTTTTTTCACAGAAAGGTTGTGTGTAATTTACCGGAACTTGGCGTCATTTATATTTTAACTACGTATGACTTTTCTATTCATTTTATGCTGTGGGAGTTGAGTGATGTTTAGATTTTACTTAATTGAGTTTCGGTGTACTATCTGGTGCGTCGATCAACATGTACTTTGATTGTGATTGCCATGTACGAGTCTCGACTTTTGATGAGGGTAAATAAGAGAAAAGCATATGAGTTTAAAAAACGCCCGAGTGTCACAAACACCGGGATTTGGTTTTTATTCAATTTATTTTAAATTTTATAACCTTTTAGCATTATAGAAAGTTTCCTTTGCAATTACGGGATAGTTTATATACAATAATAATACGCTCATAACCTTAATTCATATGTAATTTATTGTAACTATTAATTTATTTTATGGTATCTATCGAAACTTCGCGATTTTTGTATGGTATGTTATATGTGAACTGCGTTGACTTGATTTTTAAGGGAATGAGGAACTTAATGATTTTTTATTTCGTCAATTGAGTCTGTTCGTGGCACAGGTAATCTAAATTTATTTGATGTACAGTAATTCGAAATTTCGTCTCGAATAATGATAGGGTATAAAATTTTCATTATTTTTTTTTTTAAAGAAAGAAATACTTTTATATTTGTATTTTGTAATATTTTATTGCTATCTCTAAAAAATAAATTAATATACTAAAGATTTAATATTAATCTCGTGCTAAAAATTTATCATATTTTTTAAATTTTAAGATTATTATTTTTTTTTTAAAAATTTTTTATTTATTTATTTATTCTTTGTCAAGTTAGTCACAGATGCTTTTTTTTTTAAAAAAAAATCACAACTAGTATTAGATGAATGCATGGTTTATTAAGAAACTTTCTAATAACTTTGAACATATTATCTGCTAGCAAATATTAATTATCTTTTTTTATCCTCTGTCAGACTAATTATGTGTGCTTTATTAAACATTAGTATACTATACATATAAAATGAATCGCTAAAGCTAAAT